CGCCTTGTTGAATAAACCCTCCCCAATTCCCTTCGGTGCCCCCGTGATGAACTTATAGGCAGCCACAAGGTCGCCTCTCAACCTCCTCTTGCGGAGGCTGAAGAGGTCCAGGTGCCCCAGTCTCTCCTCATAGGGCTTGGCCTGCAGGCCCTTAACCATACGAGTGGCCCTTCTCTGGACCCTCTCCAGGTTATCCGCATCCCTCTTGAAGTGTGGCTCCCAGAATTGCACGCAGTACTCCAACTGCGGTCTGACCAGCGCCCGATAGAGGGGAAGTATCACCTCCTTGGATCTATTCGTCATGCGTCTGCTGATGCATGATAATGTGCCATTAGCTTTTCTGATGGCTTCGTCACACTGCCGACTCACGTTCATCTTGGAGTCCACTAGGACTCCAAGATCCCTTTCCGCTTCCGTGCCACCCAGCAGGTCATTCCCTAGGCTGTAGGTGTGCTGGACATTTTTCCTCCCTAGGTGCAGCACTTTGCATTTCTCCTTGTTGAACTGCATTCTGTTGTTTTCTGCCCACTTGTCCAACCTGTCCAGGTCTGCTTGCAGCTGTTCCCTGCCCTCCAGCGTGTCCACTTCTCCCCACAGTTTTGTGTCATCCGCAAACTTGGACAGAGTACACTTCACTCCCTCGTCCAAGTCGCTGATGAAGATATTGAAGAGTATCGGTCCAAGGACCGAGCCCTGCGGGACCCCACTGCCCATGTCCTTCCAGGTCGGTACCGACCCATCCACTATGACTCTCTGGGTGTGACCCTCCAGCCAATTCACCACCCACCGGACTGTGTAGTCATCCAAGTCACAGCCTCTTAACTTGTTCACCAGTATGGGGTGGGATACCGTATCGAAGGCTTTCCTAAAGTCTAAGTATACTACATCAACCCCTACTCCTGCGTCCAGGCATTTTGTAACCTGGTAATAAAAAGAGACTAGATTAGTCTCTTTTTATTGAAACATTCAAACAATTTCTGGTTGGGTTGAACCCGAAGTAGTAGGTTTCCTCATTTTCTGGTTCCACCAGGAAACAGAGAGACATGTCATCTGTCCTGCTCGCTGTAGGGCCCGTGGAGGTCGAATCCCACTCCTGGCTGAGCTGAAGTCCGTCAAAGCTGGAAGCATTAGGGCTAAACACAACTGTGGGCAATGCCAGCTCTTGCCTTGTTGGTAGTGAAATTGCATGTGCCATATTCAGACTGGGATGTAAAGATGCCGGTCCCACCACCACAGTGGCCCGTGACTTCACGTGTATCTCTGAGGGCTTGTCTGCATTGCTGGGGTGAACACCAGCAATGGGGCCATCAAGCTGCGGCAGGTGGCATGCATCAGTATGCAGGGCCAAAATGGAGGGCATCAAAGTGGCACCGTGCACTCAGTGCCACCCGAATGTAGCTCCAAATGTGGGACGTGCTTCCTAATGGTTCTCCCACATGTTCACATGCTCTGCCAGATGAGGTCCTTTAGGTAAATGGGATATCTTTTATTAGACCAACTAAATGGTTAGAAAAAATTGTTTTTTGCAAGCGTTCGGGTACAAACACCCTTCTTCAGGTACAGGGA